CCAACTTTCACAACAGGATTCGAACCCAGGGTCCCCAGAACATTTCCGGAGTCTCTGGATTAACAGTCTAGTTTCTCCCCACTGATGCTGCCAGACCTGCTGAATTTGTCCTGCAATTTCTGGTTTGGTTTTCGATTGGAGGGAGATTTGACACAGTTACACAAGATTACGATGAGTTTGGATAACGTAGAATTAAAGTTTTTCCTATTATTTGATCATAAAATAATTAAGGGGCAGAGGTTTCAGATTTTCAGCAAGATCTATAGGGGAGTGGTGAGAAAGATCGTTCTTTTACAGCGACAGGAAAAGACCTACAACTCACTACTTACCCTCAAATGTCCTTAATGCCCAGGCTCTGATGAAGCGAGGAACACTGTCGGATCTCAATGTGACGATTGGTTTCAGTTTCCCGAATGTAAATCCTCCACTTGCAACACTCTGAAAAACGAGTTCACCAGAGTTATTGTCCTCAGTCCAGGATAGAAATTCTCTTCTTCGGCGGCTGTTAAGCAAAGCCCGCTGGGTGTCTATGATACCTCTAGTGCACACTGTCTCCATTTGCCTCCCACTCGCCACCGTTCTTCCCCTTTTACCATCTCCTTCTGATCCCTCATTCGTCCAAACTTCACTTGCACCGCCACTGCTCCTGTGTAGGAGGATCGTTATACACGTAAACGTTAACCCCGCCCTTGATCATCCCTATTGGTTGGAGAACCACGCCTCCCACCCTGTTGGTCACAAGCTGACGTCAACTCGCCAGGTCCCAGGACTGGTTGCCATTCAGTCCATTGGAGCCGTGCTCTCTCAGTGGAAAAACGCTGCAAAAATCTATTTCCATTCCCTTACCCATAACCCCAACCCCACAACAAATGTCTTTAAACAGTTAAATTCCAAATCTCTTTTGACAACAACTGCTAAACCTGCTTCCAGCTGCCATTCATTCTGTTTCAGTACCTCAGAACTTGCTGAGTGAAATAATCTCCACATTTCTACCCTGCATTATTTGCTAATTATCTGAAATCTGCATTTAACAAATATAGCGAAAATGTTAATAATTTTTCTCTCTCTTTGCAGATGAAATATACTGGAAACAAACCTTCGTCTGCCTAAATCACCAGTTAATCTTCTCGGCTCCAAGTAGAAGTATGCGAGCTTCTGCTATGTCTGCAGAAAACAAACATATCTTACTTTATTTATTCATGGGATGTGGTCTTTGTCGCCTGGACAAGCAGAGAAGGTGCTGGTGAACTGCTTATTTGAACAGCTGTGGTCCACTTGCTGTATGTACGCCCACAGTGCTGTTTGAAAGATAGCTCAAGGATTCTGATCAATGACAGTCAATGGTGATAAACTTTCAGTTCAGGATGATGCATGGTTTTGAGGGGGAATTGCAATCAATGGTGGTAATTCCACAATTCTGTAGTCCTCACCCTTCTCAGTTGTTGTGGGTTTAGAAGGTGGTGTTGAAGACTTAGGTGAGACAGTGCACTGCATTGCATCTCAGCTTTGGTAGTGAAGCAATTGAATATTGCAGCTGGTAAATATCCTGGATGGTGTTAGTTTCTTGAATGTTGTTGGAACTGTGCACATCCAGGTAAGTTGGGAGTATTACACTTCGTAGATGCCTGATACTATTCCAACATTTTCTGCACCACCTCCAAGGCTTTGTCAGGTTTTCCTCTAAGTGTGATGCTCAGAATTGAACACATTATTTCAGCTGACGATGAATCAGTGATTTACAAAAAGATTCAGGTTAACTGCTTTCTTGCGCAATTCATACCTCTGTGAATAAAGTGACTTTCCAATACCTTGATGAACTTGTCCAGTCGCATTCAATGATTTGTGTCCATACAGTCTCAGGTTACTCCGTTTAAAATTGTAGCATTTAGCTTCGATGTCTCTCCTCATTCATCCTTTCAAACTTGACCATTGGTTGTGAATCACTTTTGGGGTGTTCGGAGGATGTGAAAGATCAAGAAACCAAAATGAGAGAACAGGTACATCAGTCTATGCAGATAGAGATTACAAAGATAG